CTGCCGCCGGCAGCAGTCCCAGGGGCTCGGCAGTCCCAGGGGCTCAGCAGTCCCGGGGGGCTCAGGGGCAGTCCCAGGGGCTCAGTGGGGGCTCGGGGGCAGCCCCTCCACGAGGGACGTGCAGTGACATTGAGGGCTCCGACGTTGCCCAAAAATGACAACATATGCCCCACAAATACAGAGGATTCTGCGTCTGCTGTGCCTTCGCATGCCACAAACACACCCAAAACTGTCCATGCTGACAAACACCTGAACCTCCTAAGACAGGATCGAGTTAACTGAAACATGCCTTGTTTTATCCACTCTGTGCTGTTAATTATAGCACTTGCATTGACCATTGCTTGCAGACAGTCTCGGTGCAGAGATGGCCAGTAGCACGCACAAAAGACACCTGTTTTTCTTGGCACATAATCAAGAGGTCTCCTTGCTGACACCCATGTTAGCTCACAGGGCCACACAGGCAGTTCCTGGGCGCTGCCTGAACAGGCTTCTAGCACTGGGAATGACAAGTTATGGCACCCGTGGAAACAGTTTTCCACAGCACTTCAGGCTTAAGACACAGAGTTGTTCATCAGGCAAGCTCAGAGTGCTTTGAGTGGACTGGAAAGTGAACTGTGGATTTTGACCAAACATCCCTTTGCTGCTACGATGTTGCAAAAAGATGCCAGAAATTACTTTTCTTTAAATAGTTCTGAATACTTTTCCTTCCCACCCATCAGGAGTTTCCAGAATACGCAACAGTAATCAGTTATTTAGTTAGTGAAACATTCCTGAGAGCCAGACTGGAATTACTGCCCTAACTTTATAAGAAGCAGCAACACGGAGGGGTCAAGGGACAGATCCTGAGAGAAATTTGGATGCTGAGCGGGATTTTCCAAAGCGTGGAGACACTTCTCACTCAAAGCAATGAGGAGACTGGAAATGGTAAACCAGCACTTTGACCCCATGAATGGACACCTTACCTCACTTAATTTCCCTCTGCCTGTCTCTAACCACGCTCTGATCCCAAGGGAATCGCTGACCTCGCTGGCGCTTCCAAAGGCACCAGTCCATGGCGCTTTTTGCCTGACTCTCCCAGCAGAGACCTAATCCTGTGCCAGCTGCTAAACCCTCTCAAGTTTGAGGGGAAATCTGATTTGAAGCCAACCAATCCATTAATTAGCTGCTATTTCTAATGGCTTCAGAAAACGAAACTTGTTTTAAAAGTGACAGTGGTGTGAGAAAATAATCTGCCTTGAGTAGCAGCTCCTCACCCTGCTGACAGCACTGGAATGCCAATGCCTGCATCCTTCTGCTTCCACAGGCTCTCACACTCGCGCACTCGGATCGCACGTGCACACACGAGGAGTATTTTCGGTCGTGTGATGTTCCAAGTGCAGTCAGAGAAAGGCACTCGTACAGGAGGGGAATGCAGGCACCCGTGCAGCTCCAGGAGAGCAGTGCCCATGCAGCAGGGAGGTCACAGCGCTGGGAACTGACTTCTCCTGCACTGGGTCACGGTCCCTAATGAGGACCACTCCGCACCGTGTTGCTCTTAGGGTCCCCGTGGAGATGGGCTCCTCCCCCAGCTGGTGCTTCACCCTGAGCCTCTCCGGGCAAGGCTCCGTCCCGTTCCGGGGTGGCGAGGAGTGAGGCTTTGACTTGGAGAGGAGCTGGTGCCTTTACAAAGTACTAAATGAAGGGAAGGAGCTGGAGCTCGAGGCAGCAGTGCCTGCGATCCACTCCTTAGCACCTCCCGTGGTGTGGGCAGTGGCAGATGCCAGCACAGAGCCCACAGCCAGCTCACTGCCATGGCATGTGCCACAGCGAGGGACGAGCTGCCCGGTGACCCTCTGGGGCAGGGGAGGAGGGAAGAGGAGTCCTCTGCCCCACGCCCTGAGTGTCCCTGGGCATGGAACGTCCAGCCAGGACGGGGCTCCTTCTGCCACTACACCCTTTGCCCCTCTCCTCTGCTGGGTTCTGGCTCCTGTGCTCCTGCTCTGTCCCAGGGAACCAGGCCCTGGCAGGGAGGGAAGTGGCTCTTCCAGGGCACGTCAGAGCCTCAGGGGCAGGAGAGAGGGGCAGGAAGTGGGGCACAGAGCATGGGCCCGAGGGGACAGCCAGGGAAACCAAGAGAAGGGTCAGGACTTGGCAGGAGGTTCAGCATGGGTTTGGAACTCAGTGCCGTAGAAATGAGGCCTAAAATCATCTTTTCTTCTGAAGTGTCCATGCCAGAGAGGACATGAACATTCGAAGCTCTGTGGCTTTATATGGCTGGGAATTAATAGCATACAACTACCCTTTGGGGTTTTTTGTGGTGGGACTTTGGACTCCTGAAGCCAGGAAGTGTGAAGCTGGTTTTTTGCTCAAGGTCAGGTTATTTAGCATAAGAAAATGGGGAACTCGCTTCTCACTGATTTCCAGTGTTCCTTTTCCACAGGAAGGTTCGTGATACAAAAGTGGAGGAGAAGTGACTAACAGGAACCTCCCTGGATTTCTGGTGGGCCTGTGCTGTGCAGAACGAGACAGAAGAGAGGCTTTGTGCCCGAGAGCTCGTGCCTCAGGAGCCCCAGGACTCCCTGCCCGCAGTGGTGGGGGCTGCAGCATGCTCAGGTGAGAGGACCAGTCCCACAGTCCACAGCTCCAGCCTCGACCAGCAATGCCGACAGCCTGGCAGCAGCCTCCATTCTCCAAGTCCTGCCTGCTGTCACAGACTTGGGTGAACAATAACCGCTCAGCCCCCCCAGGAGGAGTGTCAGGAGTCGGTGCCCAGCCCTGCTGGTGCTGGGGATAGAGAGTGCACTCAGACAAAGAGATGGATGTGCACAGGGATTACGAAGACGATAAGGGATTTCCAACTTGAGAGCCCATAATGGACTGCAAATACCAATTCCAGTGATAGCATTTAAAGAGGTCCCTGATTTGAGGATAACATCTGCACACCATTGTGGCCACCCCGACCCCGGGAGCAGCACCGTGGTGCTGTGGTTGCTGCGTGTGCAGCTCACAGACAGGCAGGGGCTGTGCCCCCAGT